GGTTAGTGGGAAGAATGTCCCTTACATTGGAGGTCAGTGGGAAGAATGTCCCTTACATTGGTGATCAGTGGGAAGAATGTCCCTTACATTGGTGGTCAGTGGGAAGAATGCTCCTTACATTGGTGGTCAGTGGGAAGAATGCTCCTTACATTGGGGGTCAGTGGGAAGAATGTCCCTTACATTGGTGATCAGTGGGAAGAATGCTCCTTACATTGGGGGTCAGTGGGAAGAATGTCCCTTACATTGGTGGTCAGTGGGAAGAATGTCCCTTACATTGGTGGTCTGTGGGAAGAATGTCCCTTACATTGGGGGTCAGTGGGAAGAATGTCCCTTACATTGGTGATCAGTGGGAAGAATGTTCCTTACATTGGGGGTCAGTGGGAAGAATGTCCTTTACATTGGTGATCAGTGGGAAGAATGTCCCTTACATTGATGGTCAGTGGGAAGAATGTCCCTTACATTGATGGTCAGTGGGAAGAATGTCCCTTACATTGGTGATCAGTGGGAAGAATGTCCCTTACATTGGTGATCAGTGGGAAGAATGTCCCTTACATTGGTGGTCAGTGGGGAGAATGCCCCTTACATTGGTGATCAGTGGGAAGAATGTCCCTTACATTGGTGATCAGTGGGGAGAATGCCCCTTACATTGGGGGTCAGTGGGAAGAATGTCCCTTACATTGGTGGTCAGTGGGAAGAATGTCCCTTACATTGGAGATCAGTGGGAAGAATGTCCCTTACATTGGGGGTCAGTGGGAAGAATGTCCCTTACATTGGTGATCAGTGGGAAGAATGTCCCTTACATTGGTGGTCAGTGGGAAGAATGTCCCTTACATTGGTGATCAGTGGGAAGAATGTCCCTTACATTGGTGATCAGTGGGAAGAATGTCCCTTACATTGGGGGTCAGTGGGAAGAATGTCCCTTACATTGGGGATCAGTGAGAAGAATTCTCCTTACATTGGGGGTCAGTGGGAAGAATGTCCCTTACATTGGAGGTCAGAGGGAAGAATGTCCCTTACATTGGTGATCAGTGGGAAGAATGCTCCTTACATTGGTGATCAGTGGGAAGAATGCATCAGTTGCATCAAGGGGGGGGGGGAAGGGAATGTTGAAAATGCTATTGGTCACAATTTTGGGAGGTTTGGTGGTGGGGTGGTTGGTGGGTTCAGGAGGAGGAATGTTGTGCAGTTGAGGTGGGAGGGGGAGGGAACCCCACACGTAAGGGGGAGGCTGGCTGAGCTGATTTTAGAGATGGGGTTTAAAGCCTGTAATGTTTTTGCTTTGATCTGATTTATCGTTTGTAAAACCTGAAGGTCTGGACCTTTTTTGGGAGAGGTATAGGAGGAGGTGCAGGGGCCTTCAGCAGAGAGAGGTTTCGTGGCAAAGGTGGTTTCAAGGCAGCCTATGATAAAATCAGTGACAATCCTGGTCTGTAATGAATCCATACCAGAGGCTGACTTGGTAGTGTGGCTACGCCAATATGGTGAGGTCCTCACCCCACTGCGGAAGGTCCATGATGAGCATAGGATATGGACAGGGACCTGAACAATGTTGCTGTACTTGAGGGTGCTGGGCAACGTGGTTCAGCACCTGCCCTGCTCAGCTTTTCTGGGGAGGGATAGGCTGAACATTTTCTATTAGGGTCAACCTAAGGTTTGTAATAAATGTGGAGATAAAGCCCACTTTGCATCGTCCTGCACCATCAACAAGTGCTCACTGTGCCAGGATTTAGGCCATTTGGCCAAAGAATGCACCCAGATTCGGTGCAATTTGAGCCAGCAGCTGGGTCATCCGTAAAGTCAGTTCTGTTTGTTGTGTCAGATTCGGTTTCTCCCAGTAATGTCATCCCTCAGTCTGTCCCTCCTGTTCCTAATCCTACGGTACGTAGATCTTCCAGACTAGCGGAAGCTGCTGGGGGGGCGGGTTTAGCGGATCTTCCCTCTCGGCCTACTCCAGCTCCGGTACCTGCCCCACGACAGCGCAAACGTCAGGAGGGTGTGGGGGTGCTGGATGGGGGTGGAGCCGATAGGGCTCAGGGAGGGGTGTCCATGTCCCATGTCTCAATTCCTGCTGGGGGGTTTCAGCTGATGAGGGGTGGGAGAGGGTTAAGGGGAAGAAAAAGAAGAAAAGGAGGATGAGAAGAGCTTTCCTTTCTTCTTCAGAATCAAACCCAGGAGGGGTCCCTCTTGGCCCCATCAGTCTTCTCAATGTTGATAGAAAGATCTTGGCACAGATTCTCTTTTGGCGCTTGTCGTCAGTAGCAGGCGATTTGTTGTCCAGCCATCAGCACTGTTCGGTCCAAGGTAGAAGTACCTTTTCAGCAGTTTTGGCTATCCGGGAGGCTTTGGAACGAAGCAGGGCTGCTGGATGGAGAAAGTACTTGCTGGCATTGGATCAGGCAAAAGCTTTTGATCGAGTGAATCATGAATATCTGTGGTTGCTGCTTGGTAGATACGGCCTTCAGGAAGATATGAAGAGGGGCTGAGAGCTTCCCACTTGTTAATGGTTGGGTTTGGACGGCCTTTTGAGGTTGGCTCTGGTGTGCACCAGGGATGTCCTTTGAGCCCCCTGCTATATGCTTTTGCAATCAACCCCTTTGTAAGAAAGCTAGAGGGTGAAGGTCGTGGCCTATGCTGATGATGTGTCTGTTATTATCTCTGGGACTGAGGAGGTGCAGGAGGTGGTCTCTGTGATAGAGCAGTACAAGGAGGCTTCTGGCTCTAAAGTCAACCATGAAAAGAGTGAAGATTTCTGGATGGGTGAGGAGAATGAAAGCTTCGAACTTCCGGATGCCTTCCCAGAGCCCAAGCAGGAAATTAAAGTGTTGGGCATCAAATTTGGTCCTGATGACTATGGTCATGAAATTGGGAAAGCAGATTGGTGGGTACCAATGCCTCTCCTTGAGGGTTGATTTGATTAAAACGTACCTGATCCCAATCTTTTTATATGTCAGCTTCGTCTGTATCTTGCCGGTATCTCTCTATGCACGGGTCTACAGCTGGTTTTTCCAACTGTTATGGGGAAATAGGCTGAACTTGATCAAACGCAATGTAACTTACCTGTCCAAGCGGGAGGGTGGCCTAGGAATGGTCAACCCGATAGTTTTCTTTTCTTTGCTCTTTTTAAAGTACAATCTTGGTAATATGTTAGCAGAGACCCCGCCGAGATGGGTGGGTATTTTTCTATCTTGGTTTAGGCCTTTTCTGCATCGCTGGGAAGATGGCGGGCCAGTGAAAAGTCTGAGAGTCCGACAAGGCAAGCTCCCGGCTTATGTTCCCCCGCATCTGAAAATACTTTGGCAGTGGCAGGTGAAAGTGGAGGATATCAGGTCCCTTTCCAGGAAGCTTCTGGAGGGGAGGATTTTGGCTTCTGCTTTCAGTGTGTCACAGGCTTTAAAGGATTGCCAAGGCTCCGTAATGAGGGAGGGGTTGCGTTTAATTGAACTTTGAAGTTTAGGGGTCAATCCTGGCTGGCTTTCCATGGAAGGCTCTATGTGAGAGGGATCCTGAAGCATCACCCTGTGGATGATCGGGATTGTCCTAGAGCGGAATGTGTTGGTAAAGTGGAGTCTATGGACCACTTTCTGCTCCAGTGTCCCTTTAACATAGAGGTGTATAAAAGGGTGGGGAGGGTTCTGGGCATCCCCTTTCTCTATCGCATGAGTTATGCAGAGTGGGTGTATGGGGCATTCCCAGCTCGTTGGGACTTTGATTTGGATACGCTTTTTTTAGTTGTTCGTTACTTCACATGGAACGCACGGTGTCAGATTACCCTACGGAAGAATGTCCTCCCTAGAGGTGGTGGTGCACGATATTCTGGGTGAGGTTGGGAAGATTCGGGGTCTTGAGAAGGGCAGGGAGCCTCGGCGGTCTGGAGGAATATCAGACCTGCCTTTGGTGAACTGTCCATCTCTGGGGGAGGGGTGCTTTTCTTATGCTGTTCTTTTCACTCCCTTCGTTTTTGTTGGTTAAGATCTTCTTTTTGAAGAATGGCTGCATGCATAAGGGGGGCGGGGCTGCATGCATAATGGGGGCAGGGCTGCATGCATAATGGGGGCTGGGCTGTTTCTTGACCTCACAGGTTTGATGTCTGGTGTAGTGATATGAGTAGTAAGATTTATTTCCCCAGTTATGACGTTCATTTCTGAGACGTTTGCTTTTGTCTGACAGCAGATTTTGCTATGTTTATTTTTGTTTTGGTGTAAATATATATATATAACTATTTATTTTTTTATATTCTGTATAATATTTTATGTTTATTGATTGCAAGACTTTTAATAAAGAAAAATTGGGAAGAATGCTCCTTACATTGGTGGTCAGTGGGAAGAATCTCCCTTACATTGGTGATCAGTGGGAAGAATGTCCCTTACATTGGTAGTCAGTGGGAAGAATGTTCCTTACATTGGTGGTCAGTGGGGAGAATGTCCCTTACATTGGTGGTCAGTGGGAAGAATGTCCCTTACATTGGTGATCAGTGGGAAGAATGTCCCTTACATTGGGGGTCAGTGGGAAGAATGTCCCTTACATTGGTGGTCAGTGGGGAGAATGTCCCTTACATTGGTGGTCAGTGGGAAGAATGTCCCTTACATTGGTGGTCAGTGGGAAGAATGTCCCTTACATTGGTGGTCAGTGGGAAGAATGTCCCTTACATTGGTGGTCAGTGGGAAGAATGTCCCTTACATTGGTGATCAGTGGGAAGAATGTCCCTTACATTGGTGATCAGTGGGAAGAATGTCCCTTACATTGGTAGTCAGTGGGAAGAATGTTCCTTACATTGGTGGTCAGTGGGAAGAATGTTCCTTACATTGGTAGTCAGTGGGAAGAATGTTCCTTACATTGGTGATCAGTGGGGAGAATGTCCCTTACATTGGTGGTCAGTGGGAAGAATGTCCCTTACATTGGTGGTCAGTGGGAAGAATGTCCCTTACATTGGTGATCAGTGGGAAGAATGTCCCTTACATTGGGGTCAGTGGGAAGAATGTCCCTTACATTGGTGATCAGTGGGAAGAATGCCCCTTACATTGGAAGTCAGTGGGAAGAATGTCCCTTACATTGGTGATCAGTGGGAAGAATGTCCCTTACATTGGGGGTCAGTGGGAAGAATGCCCCTTACATTGGTGATCAGTGGGAAGAATGTCCCTTACATTGGGGGTCAGTGGGAAGAATGTCCCTTACATTGGTGGTCAGTGGGAAGAATGTCCCTTACATTGGTGATCAGTGGGAAGAATGCCCCTTACATTGGAAGTCAGTGGGAAGAATGTCCCTTACATTGGTGATCAGTGGGAAAGAATGTCCCTTACATTGGGGGTCAGTGGGAAGAATGCCCCTTACATTGGTGGTCAGTGGGAAGAATGTCCCTTACATTGGTGATCAGTGGGAAGAATGTCCCTTACATTGGGGGTCAGTGGGAAGAATGCCCCTTACATTGGTGGTCAGTGGGAAGAATGCCCCTTACATTGGTGGTCAGTGGGAAGAATGTCCCTTACATTGGTGATCAGTGTGAAGAATGTCCCTTACATTGGTGATCAGTGTGAAGAATGCCCCTTTCATTGGTAATCAGTGAGAAGAATGTCCCTTACATTGGTGATCAGTGGGAAGAATGTCCCTTACATTGGGGGTCAGTGGGAAGAATGTCCCTTACATTGGTGATCAGTGGGAAGAATGCCCCTTACATTGGAAGTCAGTGGGAAGAATGTCCCTTACATTGGTGATCAGTGGGAAGAATGTCCCTTACATTGGGGGTCAGTGGGAAGAATGTCCCTTACATTGGTGATCAGTGGGAAGAATGTCCCTTACATTGGGGGTCAGTGGGAAGAATGTCCCTTACATTGGTGGTCAGTGGGAAGAATGTCCCTTACATTGGTGATCAGTGGGAAGAGAATGCCCCTTACATTGGAAGTCAGTGGGAAGAATGTCCCTTACATTGGTGATCAGTGGGAAGAATGTCCCTTACATTGGGGGTCAGTGGGAAGAATGCCCCTTACATTGGTGGTCAGTGGGAAGAATGTCCCTTACATTGGTGATCAGTGGGAAGAATGTCCCTTACATTGGGGGTCAGTGGGAAGAATGCCCCTTACATTGGTGGTCAGTGGGAAGAATGCCCCTTACATTGGTGGTCAGTGGGAAGAATGTCCCTTACATTGGTGATCAGTGGGAAGAATGCCCCTTACATTGGTAATCAGTGAGAAGAATGTCCCTTACATTGGGATCAGTGGGAAGAAGCCCCAATTCCTGCACCATCATATCTCAAACCACCCCAATCTACACACCTTCACACCTCAGATCAGCCCAATTCCAACAAAGAATTTAGAGGTTTTACATTCAAACCTGGTGCAGCTGATGGTTCCACTATGAGGAGGGGGAGGGTATGGGGGCTTCCTCAGGCAATGACATCCACAGCCACAGGTGAGACTACACTCCTATTGGTAGCAGGACCAGCATCTAACCACCAATGATGTAAGGTGGGCTGCTCTAAAACCTCATGGAGGTGGATGGGTTTAGCGAGTCAATTACAACCTATGGCAGGCGTGGTGTATTTGCAGGGAGCAGGGGCCCCCTGGAGAATCCTTGGGCAGGCCAGTCCATACCTCTGTACATACCACGTCATTGATCGCGTGCCCACGCTGGTACGTATGCTGTAAGGTTGCCTATCCGTGGCCTACAAGATGCTCCAGAAAAGAGATCAGATGTAATGTTTGCAGAGCCCAGCACACTGCGACATGACTCACACCTTACCGAAACCTCAACAACTGCAACACCCGGGACCCGGTCCCACCCGTCTGTGCCCCATGTATTGACAGTCATTATAGGTGTCACCCATCACAATGATATGATCTGTGATTTCTGGTCATGTGACCTGCAGGTGATGTTCACAATGAAATCACCTTCTGCAAATATTTGAGAAGTCCTGCGAAGCAGCTAAAACAATTCACGGTTCAGGTTCCCACATAATGAAATCTCCCAGAGAGGAAGAAGGGTTCCCCCAAATGAGATGAGAGGAGATTTCTTAGGATGCTAAGTGGCATCTTAGTAGATGGGAACCCTAATCAAATGAAATCTGGAATTGTAATTGCAACTGTCCTTGTTTTCTCCTTTGTATCATCCAGTGTTGTATTTTGGTGGCGCTGAGCTCCTGCCACTTTTTTGTAGTCCACTTGCACTCCAACGATGGTGCGTTTCCTGATGGTGACAACAGTGGACCATTGTAGACCCCATCTGAAGCCCATGTGCCACCTACCTGATGGTAGCCCAAAAGGGTACATGGTAAAGGGACAAGGGTCCTTTAGCAACCAAAACGAAAAGGTCAAAGTGCCCCTCCCCCTATGAGTTGTGAACCATCTCCTAACCATAGGTTGCAGACCCCGCCATTCTTGCACCCTTGCCTCCACATTCCTAGGCAGAAAAAGTGCCCAACATGGCCGCTTCTTCTGCCAACTCTAAATATCATAGGAAACTGCTATTATACTTAGCTCCCTCTATTGGCCACATGCAGTATTTTCAATTATAAATCAATAAAAGGCATTCGACCAGCACAGGAAATGGCCTAATAACATTTGTTTTTTGTCCCATTCTCACAGAACAGGTTTCCTGATGGAACCATTGCAGACCCCATCAGAAACCCATGTGTCACCTACCTGATGGTAGGCCAAAGGGGTTCCCGGTAAAGGAACAAGGGTCCTTTAGCAACCAAAACGAACCATCTCTTAACCATAGATTGCAGACCCCGCCATTCTTGCACCCTTCCCTCCAAATTTCCTAGGCAGAAAAGTGCCCAACATGGCCGCTTCTTCTGCCAACTCTAAATATCATAGGAAACTGCTATTATACTTAGCTCCCTCTATTGGCCACATGCAGTATTTTCAATTATAAATCAATAAAAGGCATTCGACCAGCACAGGAAATACCCTAAAAACATTCGTTTTTTTTTTGTCCCATTCTCACAGTACAGGTTTCCTGATGGAACCATGGCAGACCCCATTAGAAACCCATGTGTCACTTACCTGATGGTAGCCCAAAGGGATAGCCAGTAATGGGACAAAGTCCTTCAGCACCCAAGGTGAAAAGGTCCAAGTGCCCCTCCTCCATAAGTTGTGAACTACCTCTGCAACATGGGGTAGAGGAAATTCCTATGATACGTAAAACTATCTAGTGGTCAAATGTGGTATTTTCAGTTTTAAATCAATAAAAAGCATTCGACCAGCACAGGAAATAGCCTAATAACATTCGTTTTTTTGTCCCATTCTCACAGAGTAGGTTTCCTGATGGAACCATTGCAGACCCCATCAGAAACCCATGTGTCACCTACCTGATGGTAGCCCAAAGGGGTACATGGTAAAGGGACAAGGGTCCTTTAGCAACCAAAATGAAAAGGTCAAAGTGCCCCCTCCCCCTATGAGTTGTGAACCATCTCTTAACCATAGGTTGCAGACCCCGCCATTCTTGCACCCTTCCCTCCAAATTCCTAGGCAGAAAAAGTGCCCAACATGGCCGCTTCTTCTGCCAACTCTAAATATCACAGGGAATTGCTATGATACTTAGCTCCCTCTATTGGCCACATGCAGTATTTTCAGTTATAAATCAATAAAAAACATTCGACCAGCACAGGAAACAGCCTAATAACATTTGTTTTTTTTGTCCCATTCTCACAGCACCCAAGGTGAAAAGGTCCAAGTGCCCCTCCTCCATAAGTTGTGAACTACCTCTACAACATGGGGTAGAGGAAATTCCTATGATACGTAAAACTGTCTAGTGGTCAAATGCGGTATTTTCAGTTTTAAATCAATAAAAAGCATTCGACCGGCACAGGAAATAGCCTAATAACATTCGTTTTTTGTCCCATTCTCACAGAATAGGTTTCCTGATGGAACCATTACAGACCCCATCAGAAACCCCTGTGTCACCTACCTGATGATAGCCCAAAGGGATAGCCAGTAATGGGACAAAGTCCTTCAGCACCCAAGGTGAAAAGGTCCAAGTGCCCCTCCTCCATAAGTTGTGAACTACCTCTGCAACATGGGGTATAGGAAATTCCTATGATACGTAAAACTATTTAGTGGTAACATGCGGTATTTTCAGTTTTAAATCAATAAAAAGCATTCGACCAGCACAGGAAATAGCCTAATAACATTCGTTTTTTGCCCCATTCCCACAGAACATACGCGCACTTTCACTGGGCGAACTGCAATGCAAATGTTTTGTCTGACCGGGGTTCTACTTTAGGTTGCTCGTAGTCCCATGTTTATCTAACAGATAGTATCCTCATATTGTTGATTATCTTCATCATACCTCAGGCTGCTTTCCGTCTCATCCTGGATACTCTGATTTCCCCGACACTGACATATTTTACGGCACGTTGCCGGTTTTCTGTTTAGTTTTACCTTTCGTTCCTTAACCCCCTCCCCCCCCTTGCCCGGCTGTAATGAGTCTTAACAGATCTTTCATATTGCGTGCGGAAATTCCACAGCGCCCGGCCAAGCTGGCCGACCCAAATCCAGAGAAGTAGGGGACATCACAGGGGACAGAAGTTTTATCGTTTCACTGACCAGGAGTCAAAAAAAAAATATACCGAAGCCTAAATGAAGGAGTTAAAGTCAAACGGGAACGTTGAGAGCCTACTTTCACTGCAGTCAGCTGTCTTTATAATTGGACGGCTCGGCAGGAGCCCCCAAGGACGTAACCGATGACGCAAACAGACAAGCTGAGCTTTGTGTGTTCTTTTAACTCATTAAACTTTACGCTAAAATCTCGCATTATCTTCAACATGTTCAGGTCACCCCAAAAGTCATGTTTATTATTGTTTAAATCAGCAGCTCTCATTAAATATGATCCTGCCATGGAGGTCCTTGTTCAGGCACTTCCTGGTATAGGGTGACAACATTCTGTCAGTGTCTTCTGTATTGTCACCGTGTCACAAGGGCTTATGATGAGGATTACATTTCCCGTTTCCACACACATTACAAAGGCATGTTCCACATCAGGAAGCCTGCACTGAAAATGTCAGGGGCAGAGGTCCATAGCCAGCAAGATAATTTAGCATCAGGTGAATTTCAAAGGGCGCTGAGAGTGGAGGGGAGAAGGAAAGACTACTGTTAAGGAGTGTCAATGGAGGCGCACAGGTTGCTTTGGGGTGCACTGAAGTCATGGGGCACTCAGGGGTGCACTGGATGAAGCAATGTGCTTGGGGTGCCCTGGAATCACAGGGTGCACTGGGGTCACCAGATGACACAGGATGCTTGTGGTGCACTGGGGTCACCAGATGACACAGGATGCTTGGGGTGTACTAGAGTCACGGGACCCAAAGGGGCACACTAGGGTCACCAGATGATAAAGGGTGCTCTGGTGGTGCACTGGACGCAGGAGATGCACAGGGGTGCACTAGAGTCACAGTATGACACAGAATGCTTGGAGTGCACTGGGGTCACCAGATGACATGGGGTGCTCTTGGGATGCACTGGGGTCCCCAGATGACACAGGGTGCTCTGGGGGTGCACTGGGGTCCCCAGATGACACAGGGTGCTCTGGGGGTGCACTGGGGTCCCCAGATGACACAGGGTGCTCTGGGGGTGCACTGGGGTCACCAGATGACACAGGGTGCTCTGGAGGCAGGAGGTGCACTAGGATCACTGTATGATACAGGATGCTTGGAGTGCCCTGGAATAGTAGGGGCCCACTGGGGTCACCAGATGATTCAGGATGCTCTGGGGGTGCACTGGGGTCACCAGATGACTCAGGATGCTCTGGGGGTGCACTGGGGTCACCGTATGACACAGGATGCTTGCGGTGTACTGGAGTCACGGGACCCAAAGGGGTGCACTGGGGTCACCAGATGACAAAGGGTGCTCTGGAGGCAGGAGGTGCACAGGGATGCACTGGGGGTCACTGTATGACACAGGATGCTTAGGGTGCACTGGGGACACCATAGGTCACAGAATGCTCTGGGGTACATTGGAGTTATGGGGTGCACTGGGTCCACTAAATGACAAAGGATGCTTGGGGTGCACTGGGTTTCATGAGTCATGAGGTACATGGTGGCATGAGCCAATCATCACTGTGCAATTTAAGATGGCGCCAATCAGGAGAGCTGTGTTCCGAATGGCTGCAGCAGTGAATAGGAGC